TCTCCATATCCATGCCAGCATTTGTTATCTCTTGTCTTTTTCATGATGGTCATACTAACAGGTGTAAGGTGATATCTATTGTGGCTTTAATTTGCATTTCCCAAATGACTAGTGATGCTGAGCATCTTTTTTATGAACCTGTTGGCCTTTCCTGTAAATATCTACTTTTTAATTGGGTTAATTCGGTGTTTTTCTTTCCTTTTTTTTTTTTTTTTTTTGCTATTGAGTTGTATGAATTCTTTATATATTTTGGATATTTTATATATTTTGGAAATGTCTACTTTTTAATTGGGTTCATTGGGTTTTTTTCCTTTCCTTTCCTTTTTCTTTTCTTTCTTTCCTTTTTTTTTTTTTTTTGCTATTGAGTTGTATGAATTCTTTATATATTTTGGATATCTTATTAGATATAATGTTTGCAAATATTTTTTCCCATTCCACGGGTTGTCTTTTCACTTTGCTGATGTTTTTTGTTTGTTTTTATTTTTGTTTTGCTATGCAGAAGTTTTTAGTTTGCTGTAGTCCCACTTGTTTATTTTTATTTTGTTTCTTGTGTTTTAGGTATCCAAAAAATCATTACCGAGACCTATGTCAAGGAGTTTTATTCCTATGTTTTCTTCTAGGAGGTTCATGATATCAGGTTTTAATTTAAGTCTTTAATCCATGTTGAGTTAATTTTTGTGAGTCGTGCAAGATAGGTGTCCAGTTTCATTCTTTTACATGTAAATTCCAATTAGCTCAACACCATTTATTGAAGACTGTCTTTTCTCCATTGAGTACTCTTAACTCCCTTGTCAAATATTAGTTGAACGTATATATTTGGCTTATTTCTGGGTTCTCCATTATGTTCTTTTGGTCTATGTGTCTGTCTTTATGCCAGTACCATACTGTTTTGATGACTACAGCTTTATAGTATAGTTTGAAATTAGGAAGTATGATGCCTCCTGCTTTGTTCTTTTTTCTCAGGATTCCTTTGGTTATTTGTGGTTCCATATGAATGTTAGGAGTGTTTTTTCTACTTCTGTAAAATATGCCATTGAAATCTTTATAGGGATTATATAGATGGTTTTTGGTAACATTGACATTTAACATTAATTCTTCCAGTCAGTTACCGTGGGATACCTTTCCATTTATTTGTGTCTTTGTCAATTTCTTTCATCAGTATCTTGCAGTTTTCAGAGTAGGGATCTTTCATCTCCTTAACTAAATTTATTCCTAAGTATTTTTTTTGTACAATAGCATTCCTAAGATGCTATTGTAAATGGGATCAACTTCTTTATTTCTTTTTCAGAAAATTTGTCCTTAATGTATGGAAACGCTACTGATATTTGCATGTTAATTTTGTATCCTGCAACTTCACTGAATTTATTAATTAGGTCTAAAAGCTTTCAACCTTTTATCATTGAGTATTATGTTATCTGTGAGTTTGTCATATATGGCTTTTATTATGTTGAAATATGTTCCTTCTGTGCCAAATTTGTTAAGAGATTTTTAATCACAAATAGATGTTGAATTTTATCAAATGCTTTTTCTGTATCTATTGAGATGATCATATGATTATTTTCTTTCATTCTATTAATATGATATATTATATTCATTTGCTCCTGTATATTGAACTATGCATGCTCCCCAAATCCCACTTGATCATGATGTATGATCCTTTTAAGTACTGTTGAATTCAGTTTGCTAGGATTTATTGAGGTTTTTGTTTTGTTTTCTTTTGTTTTGTTTTGTTTAATCTATAATTCATCAGGAATTTTGGCCTGTAGTTTTTTCTAGCAGTATTTTTTTTTCTGGTTTTGGTATCAGGATAATGTTGGCCTTGTAAAAGGAGCTTGGCTATGCTCCCTCCTCTTAGATTTTTTGGAAGAGTATGAAAAGGATTGGTGTTAATTTTTTAAATGTTGGTAAAATTCATCCATGAAGCTATCTGGTCCTGGGCTTTTCTTTGTTGAAAGATTTTTTTTTATTACTGATTTAATCTCCTTACTAGTAATTCATCTATTCATAATTTGTATTGCTGCCTGATTAAGTCCTGATAAGTTGCATGTTTCTAAGAATTTTTCCATTTCTTTTGTGTTGTTCCATCTTGGGGCATATAGTTGTTCATAGTAGCCTCTTATGATACTTTATATTTCTGTGGTATCAGTTATAATGTCTCCTTTTTCATTTATAATTCTGTGAATTTTCATCCTTGCTATTTTTAACTTGGTTAATCTAACTAGGGGTTTGTCACTTAGTTTATATTTTCAAAGAACCAACTGTTAGTTTGGTTACACTTTTCTATTGTTTTTCTGTTCTTTATTTCATTTATTTCTGCTCTAATATTTATTATTTTCTTTCTTTTAACTTTGGAATAAGTTTGTTCTTTTTTTCTAGTTCATTAAGGTGTAGACTTGGGTTGGTTATTTGACATTTTCTTGCTTCTAAAATATAGGTGTTTATTGCTTTGAACTTCCCTCTTAGAACTGTTTTTATGGCATCCCCCAAGTTCTGATATGTTTGTTTCCATTTTTGCTTATCTCAATAAACTTTTTTTTTAATTTCCCCTTTAATTTCTTCTTTGACCTATTGGTTGTTCAGGAGACTGTTGTCTAATTTCCATGTGTTTGGGATTTTCCATTTTTCTTATTGTTATTAATTTCTAGTTTTATGCCGTTGTGGTCAGAAAAAATACTTGGTATGATTTCAATCTTTTTGAATTGCTAAGACTTGTTCTGTGTCCTAACATATGGTCTATCCTAGAAAATGTTCCAAGTGTACTTGAGAAGAATGTGCATTCTTACTGTTGTTGGATAGAATGTTCTATATATGTTTTTAGGTCCATTTGGTTTATAGTGTTATTCAAATCTCTTGTTTTCTTATGGATTCCCTGTCTGGATGATTTATCCTTTGTTGAGAGCAGACTATTAATGTCCCCAACTACTGCATTACTGGGTTTTTTTTTGTTCGTTTTCGTTTTGTTCTGTTTAGTTCGGTTAGTGTTTGCTTGATATATTTAGGTGCTCCAAAGTTGGGCACATAAATATTTACAGTTGTATATCTTCTTGATGTATTGACAATTTTATCATTATATAATGACCTTCTTTGTCTCTTTTTACCATTTTTAAAGTCTATTTCATCTAAGTATAGCTATCCCTTCCGTTTTTTGTTGTTATGGTTGTTGCTATTTGCTTGAAATGTCTTTTTACATTCTATTACTCTCAGTCTATGTGTGTCTTTAAGGCTAAAATGAGTCTCTTGTAGGCAGGATATTGTTGGATTTTTTTTTTTTTAATCAATTCAGTGATTCTTTGTCTTTCAACTGGAGCATTTAATCTGTTTATATTTAAAGCAGTTATTGATAGGTTAGGACTTCCTAATTGCAGTTCTGTTGTTTTCTGGTTGTTTTGTAGATCTGTTTTTCTTTATTTCTTATCCTGCTGTCTTCTGTTGTGTGTTTTGATGTCTTTTGGTATCAGTCTGCTTTGACTTCTCTATTGTGTTCTTTTGTGTAATTTTTATAGGATTTTCCCTTGTGGTTGTCATCAGGCTTACATAAAATATCTTAAACTTATAATTCCCTATTTTAACCTGATAACAACTTAATTTCAATAGAATTCCTAACTTTACACTTTTACTTCTCTTCCCTCTCACATTTTAGGTTCTTGCTGTTACACATACACACACACACACACACACACACATTTTATATATATGTGTAACTAATAACAGGTTATTGTAGTTCTAGTTATTTTTACTAATTTCATGGGTTTTTTAAAAACTGGAATTTTAAGTGAATTATGCACTACTGTTGCCACATTGCAATGTTGTGTTTTCTTGTAATTGACTAAATTTCCTTAAGATCATTATTCTGAATTCTTTGTCTGACAGTTCATAGATCATCATTTCTTTAGGTCAATTGCTAGAGTTTTATTAATTTCTTTTCGTGGTATCATATTTACCTGATTTTTTTTTGTGATCCTTGATTCCTTATGTTGGTATCTGTACATTTGAGTAATGGGGCTCCTCTTCCAGACTTTATAGGTTTGATTTGGCAGAGAGAGTTCTTCACCAGTCAGCTCATTTTGCCAGTGTGTCTGCTGGTAATTCAGCTGGGGCCTGCTCTTATGCTCTGTTTGGGGGCAAGGCCAATGTTCAAACTCGAAGGATAGGGATGGGGGCAGGGTGTGTGTGAGGTGTATGAGGTGTGTGCCATTGGCTGTGAACAGTTGCACAGGGTTTGTTGACTTGGTTTTCTTCCCAAGTGAGGCGCTAGGGTGGGCTCCATGGTTGCCTGGATTTTCTGATCAGGCTTACTAGGTGGTCAGGACTGGGTTACTATATTCAGTAGTACATGGGGCTATTCAGGAGCATCCCTTCCCAGGCAAGGCAACAGGATAGGACCCAGGGCCTGTACAACTCATTGCTTGGGGACTCAAATCAGGCCAAAATGAACACTGAATTCCCTGGTCAAGTGAGCCCACCAATTGTGTTCTGCAGATGGGGGAAAGCTTGGGCTATGCTCTATAGACTCTGAAGCTTCCTTTGTGCTCAGGTTTGGCTCCCTAGTTGGACAGGCTGAAGGCTGTATTCAGTGACAAGCAGGGCTACAAATTAGATTCCCTACCTCATCATAGAGGGAGAAGCAGCTCTAAAGCCAGTAAAGCTCTTTGTTGTCTTAACTCAAGCTGACCTGCACCCCAAGTTTCCTGACTGAACAGGGCCATTGGTTTTGTTCTGCAAACTATCAGCTGACACATATTATGTTATTTATTTTTTTTATAAACCTTCCATTTTCCAACAAGGATTTAGGTAGCTTAGAAAGGATTTTATTTGTGGAAATGTTTGATGGAAGTTAGTTAAGAGTATTAAGTGACTGGAAATCTCAAAAATCCTGGGGTAGACAATAATTCTCCATGCATTATCTGCTGGGTAATATGGGATTTTCTTGTTTCAAAAAGATAGAAATAAAAAAGGTTCCATTTTGAGAGGCTTCACGTTAGAGAAAAACTTCCATTATTCTCCATGTATCAGTTTTTAATTCCCACTAATGTTTCTATATTATTTGGTCAATCAGTTGTCAGTTTTTTTTTTTTAGAGGTAAAGCAATCTACATGTTTCTGATTCTGGTGGGTACAGGACTCAATGTTACATGTAAATCAGTTTGGGCTAGTAGATCTTTGCATTTTACACATTACTGAAGAGAACAGAATGTAATTAGGTCTCCCTTTTGTATGTGTTGCAGCTTGTCTCTTTACTAAATCATTGTTTTTGCTACTCACTTATGTCATTATTTCTACCATCTTCATTGTTTCTTTCCAACCCAGAGTGAGACATTTACTCTAGCTTTGATGAAATACAAGAAGTGGAACTTGTTGGTCAACACATTAGACAAAACAGATGGAGAAGCAAAGAAGTGTGTGACATAAGACATGCAGAAATTTGGATCTCTCCAATTAATCATGGTTCACAGCTGACAAAAAGGTGACAATAATTGATGTAACCCTTTGAGAAACAATCTGGAACTTCAGCACCCTGGGAAATCTTGTTCAGCTTTGCTCAGCTACTACTGAATTAATGTGTATTATAAATTGCTACTCAGAGGGGCACTTCATAAAGTCAGAATTTCTGGAACAAATCCCACACCATGAGACATCCCAGAAATCATCCATTTTTTTTTTCTGGCTTCTCACCACTCAGTGTTGTGTCACCTACTGTAACAAGCACAGTCCACAGATAAAAGATGGAAGGGCCAGCTTTCGTTGTCTGCGGTGCATTTTGCCAATGGAGGTAGTCTCCGTAACTGAATTTAATCCCTAGGAGGGTTACATGTTAGGTCGAAGTGTCTAAACTAGTTGTGTATTTGGGAACATGCAATGCTACATGCATGGATTGACTGGCTCTGCAGCTATAGGACATACAGCCCCACTCTTTTAGATGTAACCTCAGTCTAAGAGACTTCTCCTCAAAAGATGATGTAACTGTTGGCCAGGCATTTTTGTCCTTCTAAAAGGTGGGCGCTTACACATAAGCAATACTTCCAAGTTCCACACCCGAATAAGGTAGTGTAACACAGATCTCCAGAGCAAGCACAAATGTATGAAACATGAGCCGCTGGAGTTGCAAGAATATATTATGATTTTTATTAATCGTTGATTTAAAAAAAAAAAAAAAGAAAAAGCCTCATTATTTTTCTTTTTATTTATTTATTTTTTATTTGACAGAGAGAGATAGCGAGAGCAGGAACACAAGCAGGGGGAGTGGGAGAGGGAGAAGCAGGCTTCCCGCCGAGCAGGGAGCCCGATGCGGGGCTCGATCCCAGGACCCGGGGATCATGACCTGAGCCGAAGGCAGACGCTTAACGACTGAGCCACCCAGGCGCCCCCTCATTATTTTTCAACACAGAAATAGACCCTAGTCTCCTTACTGAGGAAGCTAGGCATTGTAGTTAAACAGACTGATGGATTGTTACCTAGTTTGGATCACCGTGCTTCACCAAATAAAAACATGTGCTTTAAAAAAAATCTCTTTAAGTAAATCATGGATTACCAATAATACCAACAATGCAAGTAAAAGCAACTAAGAAGGAAATGGTAATATTGACAACTATTCCTGGTATCATCTCTTTGTAGACTACATCACAAGATAAGGACAATGATTATCTAATCAGATCTTCAGAGATAATGGCCACAGTAATTTGAAATTATCTAGGAGACTATTTGAAATCAGGATTTACATCTGCTATTATGAACTATAGTTAATCGATTAAAGCTCAAATACTATATTTCAGATTTAACTCTAAGATTCATAGTTTTATATAATTTATAAAGTATGAAATAGTATAGTAAAATATGTATTTTTTGTGAATGAATGTATATTTATTGAGGATACATACTCAAAAATTTAAGAGATCAACTGCATATTCAAATATAAACAATTTTTTAATATTCAAAATAAGTAAAGTGTAGTCAAGCATGAAGGATTGTTGAGATTTTAAGTATTCAAGGTGTTTAGTTCTAAAGTTATATTTATTTCAGGGTGCCTGGGTGGCTCAGTCGGTTTAGCATCTGCCTTCGGCTCAGGTCATGATCCCAGGGTCCTGGGATCCAGCCCCACTTTGGGCTCTCTGCTCAGTGGGGAGCCTGCTTCTCCCTCTCCCTCTGCCTGTCGCTCTGCTTGCTTGTGCTCTCTCTCTTTCTCTCTCTCTTGCTGTCAAATAAAGAAATAAAATCTCTAAAAAACAAATAATAGAGTTATATTTATTTCAATAAAAATTCACTTAACTTCAATAAAAAAAAGCTTAACTTCAATAATCACATGGGTTTTCTTTCTTTCAATCTTGAAAACCTAAAAGGCCATATAAGTAGCCAATAAGAGTCATAATCAAATGAAACAAATTATATTCACAGGTGAAGGGCCTTAACATTAACTTAATAACTTGTCTAAGATTAGAGAGAACACTCCCAAATCCCATGCAGAAACCTCATACTATCTTCAAGCCAAAATCAACCTAAAAATTATACCAACAGAATATTAAAACCAAGACTATTTTATTATGAACTTGGGTGAATATAATCTAAGAACGGACTGGTGTACATTGCAGAGTGGTGCACATTGGATCAAACCATCACCGCAACCATCATCACTAGGAAATGACAATGCCATCACCTGCAAGCAGGCCATGAAGGTAAGTAATAGCTGTAACCTCTACCTCCTGGGTAATTTATATGTGCTAAAGCTCATTTTACCCTCACATCAGACAATGAAGTGACCATTATTATGTACTTTATACAGATGAGGAAACTGAGGTTTAAAGTATTAGAGTGATTTCACAAATCACTAAGCTGACAAATGCCAGCTATGATATTGGAGTCCATACTAGAAGTCTGGTTCTATCAGAAATGAGATCAGATGTGAAATTGAGAGAAACAAATATTTCTTCAATATGATAAAGAGTTCCAAAGAATTTGGTCTATGGAGTGTTTCTAGGAAATGGCTTCTCTCTTTCTGGAGATGATGATGGAGTTATTGGGTGATTTCTGTTCAGTGATTTACAGAGAGAGATTCAGATGTTGGCTGGGGCTTGAGAATACATGTTCTCTTTCACTATCCTCCTCTATGATACTGTGATTTTATCCCACTGAACCTATCTTGAGGTTTCAAAGTTTTCTGAAGCTAAGGGGGATTATGTTTACTATTATAATGCTTATTGTTATCTTCATTTACACCAACATACCACATCATTTTTAAGCCAAGCAAAAAATCCTAGGAGTTAAAATTTTTATGGTTTTGCTAATGTACAATTTAAAGGGACACTTACTTGCTAAGTAATTCTGAGGAAAAGGTCAATTGTTTCTTTCTTTTTGAAGCTCGGGAACTAGTTATTGCCATGAAATTGGTAATAAGTGTGTCTACAGAAGGTAAATCAATTTTTAAAAGGATTAAATGTGATTCCGAGTTGTATCTTTATAAAAAGCTCATGCAAAAGTGTGCACTTTTTTTTCAAGTGATGAACATGCAGTTGTCATATTACAAATAATTAAACATGTTTTTTGTAAGCACACTTACACATAACAATATGGATTTATTATTATAATAGCACACAGAGGTGGATAAAATGTATGCACACATACATTCAAACATGTAACATATATGCCTTTAGAAAATGATAAGGACTGAAAACTATGTGAAGAACTTTGAAGGGTCTGAAATTTTACCCTACTTACAAGATAACAAATTAACCTACTGGTTTCAGGGATGCTAGCAGAAGACCTGAGACTCCTGGGTCAGAGACAAGAGACAGTTTACTAGTCATAGCAATAGTCAAAGTATCATCGTTTTTGTACCAATTCCCCCAAATCATATGGGATGTTGTGAAGAAGACCAAGTAACACCTGCATGTGCACCAAATTGAGTTAGAAAAAAGGAACCATGAACTTAGGGAACCAAAGCTTTTATAATGAGCAGTAAGTCTACCTGCCTTAACTCCAAAGGGAGACATTGTTTTTATTATACTGTACAATAATCAAACCTGCTCTTTCCTCTGGAGAGAACATGATTTCTCTCTTCTAAGGCTGTTTGCTAAACTAATACCCTTGAAAAGATATTCCTGAACAAAGGGAGTCAGTGCCTGTGTCTAAGCCATGCAGAAATGCAGGAAACTCATGGAGAATTGTCTTCCAACACCACCAGAAATATTTCTTGTCAGCATTTGGCTTGGAAAGGGGCACATGGCACAGCACTTGTGAAAGTCATCTGGACTTTGATCCCGTAATAGCCAAACACAACATTAAGACATGTTGAACGTATGGACTTTTCCCATCATGTTTCCTGGAAAGCACATGTTTTCTATTCAGGGGTCAGTCTGACACATTTGGTCCTGGAGACCAGCACAACTAGACTTGTGTCTGCATCACTTGTTGCCTGGGATCTGTTCTGCCAACCTGCCTTCGGGGACCCTGCAGAAGGGTGAGTAATGGAGCATTAAATACCAACAATCTGGCTATCACAAGGACTTAATCTCTTTAAACCCCACAGGGATCTGGGTGCACATCAAAATAAGCACACCAAATGTGACTTCCATTGACTCCTTAGGCAGAAGAGCCTAAAACACCAGTGAGAGCATATGAAACTCAGATTGTTTGTCTTATAAATGGCATATTAAGACATCTTCCTCTAAGGCAGCAACATCTAAGGCAGAGTCAATGCCACATTCCTCATCAGGGCACCAGCAAACAGGGGCACTGAATGGAAATAAAGTTTGAAAATCCCACATTCAATGAATTTATCCAGGACTTAGAAACACAGATCCAGAATGGAAGTATTTTAAATTTCAGCTTACAGTGTAACCTTGTGATTTTTTTTTTTAAATACTGTTGTACTCTGAATTACATGTTATGATGATGGTTGGGTGCTGTCGGGCATAATTATTCTTTTAATTCCAATGGTCTCTGATTATGACCCAGAGTCCAATAGAGAGAGCGTAAGATCTGATTTGTCCAGGGTTTGAATCCTGATTCTAGGCAAATTATCCTTTATGAACCTCAGTTTTCTCATTCATAAGCATAGATAATTATTTACTCATATAGGACTGTTGTGGAGATTTTTTTTTAAAGGTGCATTTAAAACAATATACAATGTAACACATAGCAGATACTTAAGATAGCCTTGTGTGGCAGCCCAATACCCAAGGCCTGCCTTTTGTTTGAGTTTGGGCCACTCATTCTGTGGAGCTATAGGATTTTATGTCACGGGGCCATCCAGCTAAATACACAAGATTGCCTGCTTCAGACTAAGCTCAGGGAAAACAATAGTCAGACTCGCTTCCTCTCCTGGAATTATAAACTTCTGTTCAAGTGCTTTGTTTATGTTGTAATCTTCTGTGTAGTGGGTGGGGGGAGGAGGAGACATTTGAGAAGAGCTGCAGCAGCCCCTTAGGTAGGAGATACACACAGAGAAAAATGTGATGATGAACCGAAATCCTTGAGGTTTCCCTTGGAGTCAGCTGTACCCCATCAGCAGCAAAGATGTGTGCGTGTGTGTGATTAGCAAAAGTACTTTAATGTGGATATAATTACCATATGCCCCACGGATGAAATAATGTTTCTAGCCTACATTATCTACCCACGTTTACAGTATGAACTAAACAGTGTTAAGTAATGTGGTTTATTTCATCAGCACAGGCCCTTCTTGTCTCTTCGAACACAGAGCTGGTCCTGGCTCTTCACTGGGTGAATGGAGTTTGTAAACTTCTCTTGTATGGCCCCATGCTGTCTTCAACGTTAAGAATTTGGCTTTGTTTGCACAATTACTATTCTTTGTATTTTATTCTAAATCCCCATGTGGAAGAAATCTGTTTAAATACAGCTTATTGGACATGTTTTCTAAAGATGCATTAATAAGAAAAATGTGATTCAAATGTGTCAGGGAAGGCTTATTTGGAAGATGGTTCCCATTAACATAAGTACAGTATCCTACATATGTCATGTGGCATGATAATGTAAAATATAAAGTAAAATATTTAAAGAAATGGATGATGAACATTACTTATTTTACAATATTGGTATTTCTTCAATAATCACCTCTGATGGTATATTTAAAAGGTCTATTTTCAAATTTATTGACACATTCTTGACCTAAAACTATTACAGCTGAATCAAAATAGGAAATATTTTCTCTATGTATTTTCTCTATTATATAGCCATACATGTTTCAATGACTTGCACTAAGTCTGTACTCAAAAAAACAAGTCAATAAATGTGCATCCAGAATAATGGTTAATATTCTATTACTGTCTACCATCTGACTTATGCTATGTATAAACCAACATAATATGGGACATTTCTCTAGAACTCCCTGCAATTTTTGTTGTCAGAAATGTAACTAAATTTTCATGATATCCCTACATCATTTTGCTTCATCTTTTTCCTTTCCTCCTCCTTATTTTCTTATTTCCTTTTTCATTCACTCTTCCATCTTTCCCCAGTTCAATCCCTCTTTCACTCTCTTCTTCCTCTCTACCCCATTCTCTGTCATCATTCTTCATTTCTTCCCTTTCACCTCTCTTTTTATTTATGAATTACTTTAGGGCAAAGAATTAGTTAAGAATCCAAGAACTCATATTTATATCTTACTGATTAAAAGTACAAGTGTTGACTATGGTTTTATATTATCCATTTGTCTATTAATTCCAATTATCCTCAGTAATAACATATTGACAGAATGAGCTATGGTTTTAAATCTTGCCTAGGACAAGTTAAGAAAATAGGTCGAAAAGTTGGTTATTTTAATTTTTATATTCTATTAGTGGATTTGAAAAATAAGAAAATCTCTTTGCAGGAACAAATGAATCAACAATACCTCCTTGGGCTAAAATGCAAATCTCTCCAAAGCCCAAAGCCATGAAAGAATATCCTTGCGCGTAAGTTTTACTACTTAGCATGAATGTTGAACACTGTCTGCATTTATGCTATTGAAGGGAGAACTAGCCCTGGTTGCACATGATCTTTCCTTGAACATGGAGCAGACTCAATCAGGTAATCCTATTGATGTAATTGCATTTTATTGAGTAGAAACATGAACATTATCTCTATTTTGTTACCCTTATTCCTGAGATCCATCACATAGATTGTTCAGCAATAATAACACCAACTTGAAATCATCTATAAAGAATGGCAGGTTATGCCCTACCACCACTACCAGAACTCATATTTTCTTTTATAATAAATTTGATAGAGTTCATTTAGCTTCAATATTTTGATTTGACTGTGAATTTTCCTTATATGGCTTTTTTTTTAAGTGTTTTTAAGGAATAGATTGCCAGGTAAATTCACTTCAATTTAGTAAATACTGAGAAAATTTTCGTGGGTGGAGAGGTTCTAGAGGTGACGCTGAAAGCAAAATGATGGACTAGGAAGCTTCAGGCCCTTGTTCCCCTACAGAGACACTGACATGACAACAATATACAGACCAGAATATGTTTGTGAGAACTGTAGAGACCAGTTGAGACTAGAACATTCAGTTCAATGTAATCCCAAGAAAGGATGCCAGTGATGGGGCATTGTAACTTCCATTTGGTCTCTTGGATCCTTAGCTCTGGGGAAATTTAGCCACCATATTTCAGGACACTCGAGCAACCCTGTGGACAGCTCTAGGAAGAAAGGAACTGAGGTCTGCTGCCCAGAACCATGTGGGTGAGTCACCATGAAAGTGGATCCTTCAGCCCCAGTCAAGCCTTCAGATGACTGCAGCAATGCTTGATACCTGATTGCCAAATAATGAGAGCTCTTAAGCCAAACTATTGAACCTGGGTGATCCCAATCTTCTGACTCACAGAAACCATATGAGTTAACACATAATGTACTCTAAGTTTTAGAGTACTTTGTTATATAACAGTAAATAATTGTTATGGCTGAATTGTATCCTTCCCAAATTCATATGTTGATGTCCTAACCCTGCACCTCAATTTGTGACTTTATTTGGAGCTAGGTCTTTACAGAGGTAATAAAGTTAAAATTAGGTCATTAGAGTAGGTCTTAGTCCAATAAGATTGATCTCCCTATAGAAGGGAAATCTGGAGACAAACATATTTACACGGAGAATGCATGTGTAGATGAAGACAGAGGTTAAGGTGATACTTTTACAAGCCAAGGAACACCAAAGATATTCAGCAAACCATGAGAAGTGAGGTGAGAAGCATGAACAGATTCTCTCTCACAGGCCTCAGAAGCAAGCAACTCTGCCAACACCTTGATTTCAGATTTTTGACCTCCAGAACTGTGAGGCAATACATTTCTGTTATTTAATAAAAAAAAGAAGTGACACTAGGTTAAATATTTTGTGTTGATACATCCTCCTCTTTTACAACCCTCCTCATACTGAAAATGATATATAACCCTAAACTCCATTTCCTAGAGTCCCTTGCAAGCAGGTTCCATAAGTTTTTGACAATAAGAAGCACTCACAGAGGTTGTAGAGCAGATAAAAAGGATGAGGCATGCCTTTCCGAGTGGCTACTGTAGTCAGGTGCAGGAACTTCAGCATATGGGCTCAGTAGGTGCATGGCATTTTGGTGTCTTCCTGAGCATTGCCCACTCTGATGTTATAGGCCGTTGAGGTCATTGTTGGTAGCTTCCCTGTGATCTCTGCAGTTTTGAATTTGCTAAAAGTGGCCTCCCTGACCTTCACTCCCCAAGTCTCTCAACCCCTAGGCTGTACAAGCCTCTGTATCTCTTTATCACTTTCTGTTGAATCCATTTAGCGTGGACCAGTTTCTCTGACCAGCCCATGACTGACTGATACAGGCACTGCTATTGCCCTTTAAGGTAAGTGTTCGTTATGTTTATGTATATGTGTGTATGGTGAGTTGTTGAGAGAGGTAGTTTCTAATCCATTAAAATATTTCAACTTACCATTTTATTTTTATTCTACCAAGCACACGAAATATCTTACTATTTGTCATAAAAGCAATGTTATGGCACATGCACTCAGATTTGATACACTGTTTTTTGAGAAGGTTGAAATCTAGTACTCTAAATCTTAAATATTTCAGAAACTTTAAACAACAGCTTGTTGTTGGGAAGGCTGAGGCATTTTTAAATGTATTATGTGCTCTATATTACTCCTTAAGAAACAGACTTTCTGGGTAATGGCTGTAATACTTGACTCTGTTATATGTCACAGTAAGACTAATAATTGAAGGTGAAGGAAACTGACCCTGGATATAACAGAGACAAATTAGACGGAGTATATTGATTTCTGATGTAACAGATGGCCACCTGATGGGACTTTTTATTTATTGAAAGTGAAGCCGAAGTATTTTTCAGAGGTACTTTTTAATGATCCAACTATTAGGTGAACAAAGTTTTTAAAAATTCAAAGCAAGTGTTAACTAATCATTTGGAGTCTGGATATCACAGGTCACAGGGTCACTTCTAAAACTTATATTCAGTACTGGGTCTTATATGCAACTAATGAATCATTGAACACCACATCAAAAACTAATGATGTTCTATATGTTGGCTAATTGAACATAATAAAAAAATAAAGTAAAAAAAATAAAACCTATATTCAGCCTTCTGATCAATGCATGTTGGCTCTGTATGTTTGGATGAAAAGAATGCAGAGTGGCAGAATCATAGGCATTCTCCAACCTCAAAAGAATTTATTAAAACAGATTATTAAATATTATACATATTTTTTCTTCTCACTTTTAGATGTAGTTGGAAAACACCAATATGTTCTAAGTGATAATTTCCCAGATTTAAGGTTATATCTATTTTTTCAGGGAAAGTTAGAAATCCAGATTTCATATATGTAGGTATTCTTATTTTGAAAAACCATCTACCTATTTATAGATTTTATAGCACTTCTTGTGCCAAGAAAGACATACCTATGGGTTGGATATAGCCTGTGTGACCTGCCAGGTCATAACTATTTTTTAAAGGATCTCAAACCAGAATGAATAACAAAGACATAAGCACTCATCTAGTTACCTAAGGTCTTGTTTAATAATAAAAGTCTATTTAAATGTTTTTGAAATCACATATAAATATAATGGGCGACACATCTTAGATTATGAAATCTGAGGGATGTCATTCAGGCTTTACCACTCAACTATGTGACCATGGAAAGGTTATTTAGGAAATGCAAACTTCCTAAGGAATTTCTTTAAGGAATAAATAAGATTATGTGTAAGTGCCAGCACCTGGCACATAGTAAGCACTTTATATGTGTTAGTGATTTTAGTTTTCAGAGTAACTAAAACAAAAAATGGTTAACATGTAGAAGTCTTGCAAAAGAAAACATTTTATTTAACAAGGTTGTTTTTTTTTTAATTGTTTCGAAATAGAGAACAAATTATTTTCTGTTCTCTTTCTTCTCACTGTAGTCTATTTTCTGATACATATCCTGGAGCTGCTTTAGAAACTGATGTAAACTCTTCGACATAAATTTCCAGCTGGCAGTCTCCTTGATGTGATGTAGGTTGATGGAGTAGTGTGATTCATGATGCCTGAATGGTATAACAAGTTATGTGAGAAAATGAGTAACGTGTTGCTATTACAGCGATCTCAGGCACCAAGAGTAATGTGTTAATATGTTTATCTGTGAATGGACAATCAATGAATGAGAAGCATACATATTCTTCTGCTTTACTCTTGAAGATCACAAAAGATCATTTCTCATCTCAAACTAAATTTCAGGTAAATTGAATGGTATTTGGAAAATGATGGTTTGGCTTTCTGTAGAGAGAAGTTTACTCCAACTTGATCTGCTGGAAATCCAACCACCAATCCAAGGTAAGTAAAGCCTGAACGGCCATGTTTAGGTATCTCATGTAGTTTTAGAAGTGAAACAACAACAACAACAACAAAAACTGACTGGTAGGTGCAAGAAAGATGAGATAACACTATGTAATCCAGAATAATATTGGGCATTCACAATAAAGGAATGAAAAACTACCTTGATAATATTTGCTGTTTTCTTTCAACCCACCTTGCCAAGGAATTTGGGTTAAATATTCTCTATCACATGTGCCAGAAGCACACAGGCATTTTCCTCTGATATTCACTATGAAGACTTAGTAGAGTCATAGAGGGCAAAATTTATAAAAATGTGGGACCCTTCTATGACTAGGTCCCCCTGCAGTTCTTAGATTTGCTCACACTGAGCCTCTAGAAACTTATTAGTTACAGTTCAGGTTTCCCTACCTGAACACTGGTTCCTGTAGAGTTTTCAACTCATGGGTTTCTGCTCTGATAAATTGTGATTCTCTATGTCTGCCTGTCTGTCTCTCCAAGTTTGAGGACAGTGCCTGTCTGTCTCTCCAATTTTGGGGACAGTGATTGGTCCTGTGAACTCACTTTTGTGACAGATTTAAGAAGAGTTGTTGATTTTTCATTTTGTTCAGCTTTTTATTTGTTGTTAGGATGGAGTGGCAACTTCTAAACTCCTTCCCTACTGGACCAGAAACTAAGTCTGTGTAATATTTGTGATCTTTGTTGAGTAATCAATAGCTGAATTATCAGTGTCTGAAATAATTTCAGAATTTCTGGTTTTAGCATTTTTTAGCATAACAATATGCCTATGTAGGAGTAAGTTATAATTGTATTATTAGTATTCATTGAATTCAAGAAATTGAGGACATTTTTCATAGTCAGGGGAGCTGGGCAGGAAAACCGTTTTAAAATGGAAGCAAAAAACCCCAAATTGTGCTGGTTCAGGTGCAAAATGTACACATAAGCTGCACAGAGTGGTGCAGACCCCCATTTCACCCATCACTGCTGCACCAAAAACCCTGCCTCAGCTCATTTGTATGGCTCAGCAGATGTGCCTATGACTAACTGAAGGAGGAGGGAAAAGCCCAAGGCTGGTTGACCAATGATTAATATATATAATACATAACATTTGGAGGCAAGTGAACAATGGAATGCTGTACAGACTGGTCAAGGAGAGACTGGGGTAAAGGGACGTCCCCCAAATGGCAGTGCTTTGAACAATGCAGCTGCTCAGCCACTTCGTTTTGTGAGAGAAGTGGTTGGATAACAGACATATATACCAACTCATAGGCAGTTTCAGTTGGCTTAGCTGGTTGGTCAATGGTCTGGATGCACCAAGATTGGAATATTACAGAGAAGAAAGTCTGGGGAGATACATGTAGACCTATGTGTCTATGGAAGTGGCCACAGGGTATGATGGTATTTCTCTTTCATATTAGTGTTCACTGCAGAAGAGCCATTAGTGACAAAAAGATAAGATTATTCTGTTAGTAGGTGTCAACAAGGCTCTGCTCACAGTGGACTGATGACCAGAACAGAGTAATCACAAGAGCAGAGGAAGAGCTTATGCATGGACACAGCAGCATGGACACCACTTTACCAAGTCTGATCTAGCTACTGCTGTCGCCAGTTGCAAAGTCTGCCGGCGGCGGAAACCAACTTTAAACCCCTGATACAATATCACTGCTCAGGAAAATGAGTTACTTGATGACAAGTTGATTATAAAGGACCCTTTCCACCCTGGGAAGGTCAGTTATTCAATCTAACTTGGATATGTGTGTGTGTGTGTGTGTGTGTGTGTGATTTCAGATATGGGTTTGCTTTTTTTAACCACAATACCTCTGCCAGAACTACCACTCAGAGGGTCACAGATTGTCTCATCTACCAACATGGAATCACATATAACATTGTCTCTGGTCAAAGGAGGTCAGGTGGTGGGTACAAAACCATGGGCTCCACTGATCCCCCCACACTGCACTAAACAGAAGCTTTCAGCCTGAGAAAGCAATGGGACAGTTTCTAAAGGGGCAGCTGATAGAAACTTAGAGATGACACCATACAGAAATGAGGTATTGTTCTTTAATTGCAGTATACTCCTTAAGCCAATGATCATTATATGATCTTTTGTCTCCAACAGGTAGAACACGGGAGTACAAGAACCAAGAAGTGAATGTAGCTGTGAACTCATTTGCCAGTAATCTCAGTGAGCAACTTGGGCAATCCGTGCCATCTGTGCCTATAACTTTAGGCTGTCTGAGTCTGAAAGCCCTGGTTCCCGGGTTGTGGGGGTGGGGATACTTACACCAGAGAACATAATAGTGAATAGTCCAGTAAATGTAAAGCTACAGTTGCCACCTGGTCACACTGGCCTCTTTATGCTAGTAAGCCAACAGGCAGAGAAAGGAGTTACCATGTTGGCAAGGGAATATGAACTAATTATCATAACGAGGTAGGACTGCTGCTGTATAAATGGGGCATAGAGGAATGTGTTTAGCACTCAGGTATTACACAGAGGCACCTTTGCCTTTACTCTGTTTTTTTAACTGTCAAAAGGCAAGTAGAGTGACCACAGCCTAATGAGGACATGATGACCTGGGCCTTAGACTCCATGCCAATGAAGGTCTGGATTACCCCGCTAGATAAACCACCTAGACCAGCAAAAGTGCTAGTCAGGAGGGAGGGGAAATTAGAATGAGTAGTAGTGATGAGGATGGAGATGAAAAGTAGCAGTTAAATTTCCATACCAAGGGCAAGGACTGTGGTTGGAACTTATGATGAACCTGAATCCTAAAGAAGTTATGCTAATGGATAGAAATGAGTAAATCTGTGTTGTGCATGGGTAGATTGTGGAGGACACTGCTGTGATGTGGCCCAGTCTCCCTTTCTTGGACCAAAGAAAGCACCCAACTTGCATTTAGTGCTGGCAGCTAAAACTCACGGTTGCCTTTTTGCCAAAGAATTGTCTTTTGCCATTAGGCTGCTGCTTTGCATGGGAGGGTCCATGCCCCTTATGCCCTTATGTTCCTCCGTGGGGAAACCTAAAACCAATGACTAGTTCATGTAGAAATAAATCAGCCCCTTGACTAAAGAAGGGAGCAAATATGAAGTGCAAGGAATGTTCCAGAGCTCCCTGTGGAATCCGAGTGCTGAGAACATACCCTTGTATAATTTGTTGCCTATCTCATTGTGTTTCTCTCACTCCCTTTCTATGGAGAGTACTCTATCAATAAATCACATATACACAGATACTTATATAGGGCTCTGATTGTTATCTGAGGGAACAAAATGAAGAGAGAGAGAGAGGAAGAGCCAGAGAGAAAGAGAGAGAGAGAACGAATCAAACATGATACCAAGAAATCTGGTTTGGGCATCTGTGAGATTGCCTAATAAAATGAGAAGGACTGAGAGAGAGAGAGAGAGAACAGATATGGAACCAGTAGAAGTCAAACCTTAGGTTTGACACCTGTTATATTTTATATGTATTTGGATTGTCAAGTAGTTTGATACATAGATCTAGAGTTTAGAAGACATGTTTGGGCTAGAGATACAAAATTGAAGTCTTCGGTATATAAATGGTATTTAGAGATAATTTCCTTGCAAAAAGCATATGTAACAAAGAGGGATTTCATCATGTAGTTAGAAGTTAGGTAGAGGAGGTTTTTAAAAGTCTGAGATGGAACAGTTACAGAGGTAGAAGGAAAGTGAAAAGGGTGTTTTATCTTACAAGCCAAAGGAGGAACACTGAAAAAAAAAGAGACATTTGCAAATTGTCTGCTGCCAGCATGTTAAATTAAGTATGATAAGTACAGAATAAAGTGCCTTGACTTGTGAAATATATAAGTTTTTGATGACTGTGAAAGAGAAATTTCAGTTAAGTATTAGGGGATAGAAATGAGATTGCAGCAGCTTGAAGTATGTATGAGGGAAGAGCATGAGTGAGTCATGTTTGTTGACAGCCCTTTTGGGAAGTTTGGTTGTGAAGTGTGGCAGAGAAAAAGGACTATAGCTGGGATGATTTGTGGGGTCATGTGAGGTGATTTTTTAGGAGTGGAAATACTACATTAATAATAATTAATAGCCATAGATTTCCTACTATGACATTTAATCCTCACAACAACACCATAATGTACATTGCATTATTATCCCATTTGTAAGTGAGGGAGTTTAAATAACTAAGGAATGGTGAATCCAAGATTTGAAGCTGGGCAAAGCCCATGCTCTAACCATCATGTTGTACTCAAATATTAGAGAATGTTTGTATATTGATGGGGATGACCTAGTAGAGAGGGAGAGATTGATGATGGAAGAAATGTATGGATGATCAAAAATATTGTAGGTAGGAATGTAGGAGATGGGCCCCAGAATATGTCTATAGAGGGTGTTAGAGTAGAATAAAGGACCTGTACAAAGTTTTAATAAGAGGAACAAAGAAGATGGGTGTAGATAATAAGTAGGTTGTAGTTTTGGTGATGGAAAACAGTCTAATGAATTCTATTTTCTCAGATCATAAACTGAGATTAAAGGTCAGAGGAGGATGAATGGAGCTTTCTTGAAAATGAGAGGATGCAAGAAACGGTTTTAATTAGCTATCTCAAAGGATGGGAAAGTGGTGAATGTATTACCTTAACATGGAAGAAAGAGATTTGCAGATGTGGTTAATTAAGGGTCTTGAGATGGGAAGAGTTCCCTAAATTATCTAGGTGGGTACGAAATGTAACCACAAAGGGCCTTATGCAGGAGGCAAAAGGTCAAAGGTGGAAAGAGCAGATGGGATAATGGAGGCAAACGTTGGAGTGACGTGGTCTGAGGATGGCAGAAGGGAACATGAGCCAACAAATATAGGTGACTCTAGAAGTTAGAAAAGGTAAGGAAACAGATTCTGCCCTAAAACTTCCAGAAAGAATGTTGACCTCAACCCAGTGGAATTGATTTTGGATTTCTATTCTCCTGAACTCTAAAATAATGAATCTGGGGATGCCTGGGTGGCTCAGTCGGTTAGGCATCTGCCTTCAGCTCGAGTCATGATCCCAGCGTCCTGGGATCCAGTCCTACTTCAGGCTCCTTGTCCAGTGGGGAGGCTGCTTCTCCCTCTGCCTGCCGCTCCCCCTGTGTACTCTCTCTCTCTGACAAATAAATAAATAAAATCTTTAAAAAATAAATAAAATAAAATACAATATTAAACCTCCAATTTTGTGGTAATTTCTTCCAGCAGCAATAGAAAATGAATACATCAATATAGCCTCAGAAGTTACTGAGTGCCATTTTTGTACATTATTTTTTGGTTATAAATGAATCAGAAGCCTCCAGATTCAAAGGTAATAAATAAAGACCCCCACCTCATGATGGAAGGAATTCCCAAGAACTTGCAACTATGTTTTACACTGATATTATTAAAAATAATATCAACCATGAAAAACATAGACCTTAGACTATCAACCTGATTATCATCATACAAGTATTATTAGATATTAGGAATTAGAAATATTAATAATAAAAATGTGGAGACTGCTTAAGATTCTCTCTCTTCTTCTGCCCCTCCCCTCGTTTGAACTCTCTCCCTCTCTCTCTTAAAAAAAAAACTAATGGGCAGATGAACCTGTCATCTCTCCATCTGTTTTTAATGTGCATATCCAGCATCTGTCTGGGGCAAGGCATCATTCCAGAACTCTAGGGCTTGTGTTCTAGAAAATAGAGAATGCAGAGCAAATGACTTTTATAGTATGAAAGCCATGATTAGGGAGAGGGGGTGGGAGTGTGTTATGTCATCTTTTGCTTGGTAGATTCATGCTATTTTTAAACACCAAAGGTTGTGTGATCTTTTCTATAGTGGAACTTAGCACTGTACTTCTACTGTTTTCAAAGACCGCAGAGGGGAGCATAATTATCTAATGATTCGCGTGTTGCCTGTAGGTAACACTAGAGTTGGCTGAAGGTAGAAACATATTCGCTTGGAATTTGACCTCTCTGATGTCTGGCCCTGTGTCTATGATGTCTACCCACTCACACACAACCTCGTTTGTTAGATTCAGGTCAGCCTATGACTCACCATTCTTTAGAGTAATAGTGTTGCTAAAGGAAATGGCAGAGAGGTTGGAAAAATCCATCAGAGTTTCCATTACTTAATTTAAAGGTTCTAGTGAATCTGTTCCACTAAAGAGATTGAATATTTACTGGCACCTAAGCTGATGGAGATTTTTAGATGCTGGTGTTATTCCTTTAATACCAGGTCTTACTTGGTGAAGCCTCTAATCCAGTGTCAAAATTTCACTCTCTTTTACCTCCTAGTCATTCTAACAGGACACCACCTGGAAATTTATTATCATCTACTACCAAGTATCAGAGCTAAGCTGGAAACTAGACTCATTTCTCTGACCTGCAACTGCAATGTGATTGCTGCTTAGTGGCTTTAAAAATCAGTTCACAAAAGGGACAGCTAACATGTTGTTCGGCAAAGACCCATCTTTTCTGCATGGACACACTTACTCCTCTCTTCTAGGTGATTTTAATTTTTTTAAATATAGAGGGCAATTTGAAAATTTTTTGAGGCAGAAGCGAAAACACTTCAGAATTTATATGCAGTGCACTAAAACTTTGATCTATTCAATTAATGATTGTAATATAATAATGATAATGACAGGTAACATTTACAGAGCACTTCATATAGATAACCATATTATGCATATAACTTTATATTCATTATTTCTAGAATGAAGGTTGTGGCATCCTCAGATTCTTGTTTGTGAATAGAGCGTGTGTGTGTTTTCCTATGTGATAGCGCATGTATCTTTAAGAGCACATGAAAAATAGGTTTACATTTTAGATGAGAATTTTTTTTATTTTATTATGTTATGTTAATTACCATACATTACATCATTAGTTTTTGATGTAGTGTTCCATGATTCATTGTTTGCGTGTAACACCCAGGGCTCCATGCAGAACGTGCCCTCTTTAATACCCATCACCAGGCTAACCCATCCCCCCACCCCCTCCCCTCTAGAACCCTCAGTTTGTTTCTGAGTCCATAGTCTCTCATGGTTCGTCTCCCCCACCGATTCCCACCCCCTTCATTTCTCCCTTCCTACTATTTATTTTTTTTTAACATATAATGTATTACTTGTTTCAGAGGTACAGGTCTGTGATTCAACAGTCTTACACAATTCACAGTGCTCACCATAACACATACCCTCCCCAATGTCTATCACCCAGCCACCTCATCCCTCCCACCCCCTGCCGCTCCAGCAACCCTCAATTTGTTTCCTGAGATTAAGAATTCCTCATATCAGTGAGATCATATGATACATGTCTTTCTCTGATTGACTTATTTTGCTCAGCATAATACCCTCCAGCTCCATCCATGTCATTGCAAATGGCAAGATTTCATTCCTTTTGATGGCTGTATAATATTCCATTGTATATATATACCACATCTTCTTTATCCATTCATCTGTCAATGGACATCTTGGGGTTGAAAGACCTAAATGTAAGACAGGAGTCCATCAAAATCCTAAAGAAGAACACAAGCGGCAACCTCTCCAACCTCAGCCACAGCAACTTCTTCCTAGAAATATTGCCAAAGGCAAGGGAAGCAAGGGCAAAAATGAACTATTGGGACTTCATCAAGATAAAATCTTTTGCACAGCAAAAGAAACAGTCAACAAAACCAAAAGACAACTGACAGAATGGGAGAAGATATTTGCAAATGACATATCAGATAAAGGGCTAGTATCCAAAATCTATAAAGAACTTATCAAACTCAACACCCAAAGAACAAATGATCCAATCAAGAAATGGGCAGAAGACATGAACAGACATTTTTCCAAAGAAGACATCCAAATGGCCAACAGACACATGAAAAAGTGCTCAACATCGCTTGGCATTAGGGAAATCCAAATCAAAACTTCAATGAGATACCACCTCACACCAGTCAGAATGGCTAAAATTAACAAGTCAGGAAACCACAGATGTTGGTGGGGATGTGGAGAAAGGGGAACCCTCCTACACTGTTGGTGGGAATGCAGGCTGGTGCAGCCACTCTGGAAAACAGTATGGAGGTTCCTCAAAAAGTTGAAAATAGAGCTACCATATGACCCAGCAATGGCCATTTGAATTTATCTTTTGTCAAGTGCCTGCTCAATTCTCTTCTCTAGTTTTCCTTTTTTTTAACCTATTGCTTTGTAGGAATTCTTTATTTATTCTAAGAGTAGTCTTTATTAGTTACCTGTGTTACAAATATCTTCTCCTTCTCTGTGGTTAGTCTTTTAATTTACTTTACAGTGTACCTTCATAAATTGAAATCTTGCATTTTAATGTCATAATTTTATCAGTCTTTATGTTGGTGCTTTTGTGTCTTAAGAAATCTTTCTTCATTCAAGGTTCTAAGGATATTTTCTTATATTACCTCCTGAATCATTAGAGTTCAAATTACTTGTAAGTGATCCCATTTTTTTTCTTTTTCCTTTTTTCTTTTTATATAGATAACCAATTATCTAGGGACTATATATTGAAAAATCTATCTTTTCTTCACAAATCTGTAATATCAACTCTGTCATATAACAGGAGTCCATATATGTGTGGATAAATCCTGGGATCTCCATTCTGTCAATTAGCCTATTTTTCTATCCCTTTACCAATAACACAGATTACTCATTACTGTGGTTCAGGGATTGGTGAACTTCATTCTGTAAAGTCCAAACAGAATATATTTTAGGCCTTATGGGCCTTATAAGACATATATAGTCTGTCTTTTTTTTTTTCTTTAACAGTCCTTTAAGATGTAAAAAGCATTATTAGTTCAAGGGCTATACTATATACTAAAACAGACCGTTGGCCACACTTGGCCTGCAGCTATAGTTTGCTGAACCCTGTTACAGGCTTATTTTAAATGTTTGTATCTGTATCAGTTTGTCATTGCCACAAAAACACAATGGATTAAAACAATAAGAATTATTTTTTTTCTCATGAACCTCTAAGTCAGGTCTGCTGTAGGTTGGATAGGCAGATCTGGTGATTTGGGTTGGTTTCTGTCAGTGGATATTAGGTTGTTTTGGAAGTATTCAGGTGACACAGTTAGTCTCAGTCTCCTTCAGGGTACCCTGGGCTTCTTCACAGGGCAGCTGCATGTCTCTGAGCAGAGATGAAAGCATGCTAAGTGTCTTGAGGCCTAGGCTCAGAACCAGCCGATAGTCACTTTCATTGCATTCTACTATGCAAAATAAGTCAAAAATCCAGCTCAGATTCAAGGAGTGAAAACCTAGACTCTACTTCTTGTTGAGAGAATCTGCAAAGTCATATTGCAAAAGGTGAGAAGATACAGTATATTGCAATTTATCTACAAAATAGCTGGTTGAGAAAATTCTCCTATTGTGTCCTTTATTGTCATGAAGTCATTTGACTTGAGTCTTGAAGTATGAACAGGAGTTTGTCATGCAAACAAAAGGAGGAAAATCATTCTGGTAGATGGAAAAGCTTTTCCAAGGTACTCAACTGCTAAAGGATCTCTCATGTGCAAGGAATGCCAGGCAGCAGTACAAGTTGGTGAAGAGTCCAAGAATCATAGGGGCCAAAGATAAATTTAGAAAGGTAGTTTGGGGCTGATTTTTAAGGGGTTTAATCTTATAAGAAATGAGCAGTCATAAGGTTTTGTTTATTTATTTATTTATTTTAAAGATTTTACTTATTTATTTGACAGAGAGTGACCACAAACAAGGGCAGTGGCAGGCAGAGGGAGAGGGAGAAGCAGGCTCCATGCAGAGCAGGGGGCCCAATGGGGGGCTCGATCCCAGGACCCCAGGATCATGACCTGAGCAGAAGGCAGAGGCTCAACTGACTGAGTCATCCAGGTGCTCCATAAGGTTTTATTCTTATGGCTTAATCAAATGACATAATCAGACTTATTTTCTGGAAATTTCTCCAGAGGAAGGCAATATAGAAGAGAAGTTGATTCATTATTTTTATAGGAATAAGTCAGCTGAGAAATGATAGAGACCTGAACTAAAACAATAGTAGCAGAAACTGGAGTAGAGGAAGATTCAAGAGATATTTTGAAAGTACAACGAATGAGAAATAGTGAATTATCAGATATGAAAGATAGGGAGAAGCAAGAACCCACGATACATGTTAAGTTTTCTTCCTCATGTGCTATTAGTGGTAAAGCTATTCACCAAGATAGAGGACATAATAGAGAAAAATTGGGGGGTGG